TATTTTATTTTTATATTTTCAACATGTTTGTATCTTTTGTAGCCCTGAAGACGACCTGCAAAGTGGGTCGAAACGTCGGCAAAAATTAAAATTATTTATATATTTTAATTTTTTTTATTTTTTTGACCGCACCCTCGACTAATTCCTTCTCATTAATAATTATAATTATATTTGGTTGTACATATGTAAGAAAATTACATTTGAATATTAGATAATATTGAGACATGGTTAATAAGTAAAATGAATACAAAGTGGAAAAAGGATGATTACACATTGATATAGAGCGTCAATGTAAATTTAAAATAAAATAAAAGAATGATCATACAAAGAGGAAATATTTAGAATAATGAGCAAATTAAATGAATTAATCAATAAAATTTAGAGTAGATGAAAATAATAGAATAGAATATATAAGTTATTTTTCACTTATAAGATTTAAAATGTGTCTATATGTTAAAGAAATACAGTTTTTATCTACTTTATGATTAATAGGATTCTGTTCCATGTGAATGTGGATGGATTCGGAAATGAGTCTTTTTTTCATGGTTAGGGACCGTGGAGGAAAGGATAGAGATTTTTTCAAAATCAAATGAGTGGTTGAGGGTTAAGGTGTGTTCTGATAGTTTGGAGGCGGAAGGGTTCCGGGAAGTTATGGATGTTTTATGTTGGAAAATGCGGGTTTTGAGATGGTTTTTGTTTTCGCCAATATAGGAGCTATTGCAATTAGGAGTAGAGCAAGGTGTCCGGTAAACTACAATTACACTAATTTAGTTTACCGGATACCTTGCTCCACGGGCGGATCTACGGGGGGGGGGCTTTCGGGCTGAAGCCCCCCCCCAAAATGGAAAAATATAACCATGTTTTATGGGGAAAAAAAATTTTAAAAATACCTCTTAAAGTATTATTGTTCGTGTAATTACATTTAAAAGTACTTAAGGAATAACTTAAAAACCATCTCATATAGGTAGTTAGTTTCTTTCTGTTTTTCCAAAGGAATTATCGTTATTTTTATGAAAAAAAAGGTTTCGGGCTGAAGCCCCCTCCCTCCCCAAAATTAAATCCTGGATCCGCTAGTAACTTGCTCTACTCCTAATTGTAATAGCTCCTATATTTTGGCGAAACAAAAAACCATCTCAAAACCCGCATCATAATGCAACGGTCAATATTCTCGTTATATATTCAGTGTGGAGTTACCGTTCCGAGAAAAACGTTGAACGTGGGCCAGATATCGTCATGTTGAAATGTATGCTATACCATGTTTCATATGGGCGACTTCGTTTTCTGTTCCCGAGATGTGTTTCAAAAAGGATGGCAACCAGAAATAATGTGACAATTTGATTGTTTTCTCAGTTTATGTCATTCTCTTTAATAACATCATGTTTTCTAGTTTAGATTATATATAGATTCTCAAAGTACATCCAAAGAGATGATATTAAAGAACGTTACGAAGTCCGCATTCACCAAATGTTGACGTTGAAGATTATTTAAAATTGCCCCTAACAACTGTACAGCTTCCGATTAAATTCACAACCCCTAAAGAAATTCAAGAACTAATTAGGAGTCTCAAAATAAAAAAAAGTCCAGGACATGACCTTATACCAGTTATTGCGTTAAAAAATTTTCCTAGAAAAGCTCTCGTTTACATTACGTCTATATTTAATAGCTGTCTACGCACTGGATATTTTCCCGAAACGTGGAAGAAAGCTGAACTCGTAGTAATTCATAAGCATGGTAAAAATGCTAAACAAGTCAGTAGCTATAGACCGATAAGTTTATTACCCATAGTTGGAAAATTACTAGAGTCAGTCATAAAAAGACATCTTGCATCCTTTTTACAATGTAATAGCATTATTCCTGATTTTCAATTTGGTTTTCAGTATTGTCATTCCACTTCACACCAACTGGCAAGATTATCAGAATTCATAGTAAATGGATTTGAAATGAAAAAACATACTCTTGTCACGTTTTTAGACTTTCAACAAGCGTTTGATAAGGTTTGGCATTGTGGTCTATTGTACAAGCTAAAGAAAGTGGACACGCCCAAATATTTATATGACGTTCTGAGCTCATTCCTCAACGGCAGAACATTTACAGTTAGAATAAATAATATAAATTCAACCTTAAGACAAATCCATGCCGGCACCCCACAAGGTTCTGTTCTTTCTCCCATACTTTTTAACTTTTATGTTCACGACATTATCCAATCCACAAACACCTCCATAGCTATGTTTGCCGACGATACAGCTGTCTTTTCCCTACACAATGATATATTAATAGCCAGATATACACTGCAGTCTTACCTAGTAAATCTAGAACAATATTTAAAAAAATGGATGATTTGTCTCAACAATCATGTACAACAAAAATGTACAGCAAAAATTTTTACTCTTAGACGTCCCTCAGACCCACCTGAACTGATTCTCAAAAATAAAGAACTAAAATGGAACCCAGCTAGTGAAGCAGTAAAATACCTCGGAATTTTTCTGGACCGCCGCCTTACGTGGAATTACCATATAAATAATAAACTGACCCAAACATACGCAAGGTTAGCAATGTTATATCTCATAGTAAATAGAAAATCTAGTTTAAAACCAGAGACAACTGTTCTTATTCATAAAACCATACTAAGACCCTTGCTAATGTACGGATGTGAAGTCTGGGGAGCAGCTTCAGCTACGAAAAGAAAAAAACTACAATCCTTTCAAAACAAGGTATTAAGAATTGCAGTAGATGCCCCTGGTTCATAAGAAACGCTCAACTACATCGAGAACTAAAAGTGGAAACAATAGATGAATTCATCAAAAAACGATTTAAAAAATTCCATACGCAGCTACCAGCAGTTAAAGGTACAGTGGCCTACAACTTAGGAAACCCAACCTCATCTCGAAGACTGAAGCCCAGACTGATCCAAGACATCATGTTATGAACAATTATTAATTTTCTCTTTATTAATTGTAATTATTCAATAATTATAATGTATAAATAGTTAGGGGTGTCTTTTGCAAAGACTATACCCCACCAGGCCGATCTGGTAATAAATAAATTTAAAAAAAAAAGAACGTTACGAAGGATGGAGTAGAGTTAAAAAATAAAAGTTTGTGATTTATACCACACGATAGAAGTGAAAATATCAACAAGGCGAGATTAATAATATGAAATATAAATTATGAATAATAGCTCATTACAAAGAGAAATGCTGAACGATAACATCGCTAACACTATGCAGGTCCGATTATTAGTTACTTAGACATTTTAAACCATATTTTCCATAAAACTCGTTATCATTTGGTTTCGAAATTATTTTTCTAACTTTCTGAAATAGATAGAAAAAAAATCTTATTTTTGGGAGAGATATACTTCACCAACAAGTTACAAAACCAAATGAAAAACATCATTGTTAATGTTAATGTATTTTTTTTTTATGTTTCATCGACAGATGAAAGAAATGTCTGACAGTATCGTTAGTTTTTCGTGAAGGGAGATAAATTAAATATAAATTAATTTAATTTTTAAGATAACGAATACTTAATAATAAAAATAAACTATATTATTTTTTATTTAAAATAATTTATAATTTACTATTTAAATATTTTTGATGAATCACAAATTTCAACCGTTGTAGTAAAAATTCCCTGGCGTGAGTGGAGGACCATTAACGTACTAAGAATAAACGGTTTTCGGCATAAAAACTGTAAACATCTTAACCTTTAGGGTCTGCACCCAGGAAGAAGTGATGACCTAAGGAGTTGAGGAGAGAACTGAACTGGACTTTGGATATGGATCTGTTAGGAGGATATATTCAGGACAATATTTAATATTAAAAAATAAATATACTTCACAATATTACTCAATTCTTCTTCGGTGCATACATACTATTTATTTTCAAGTTAATTTATTATTAGCCATATTTACACCAATTTTAAAAAAATTTTGTCACTTAATGACTACTCATCAAAATGACGACGTTCGGCTCAAAAAAAGGCTTAAACAGCATAAACAAAATTGTAATTCAAAAAACACAAAAATTAAATTAGCTACTGGACTCTCGCAACATAATATGCAAACTAAACATGAGTTTGATTTCAAAAATGCCAAAATCCTACATAATGAAAGAAATACGAATAAACGTAGAATTAAAGAATCAATATACATAACTAAAAACTTAAAAAACTCAGTAAATAATCATACAGACGTGGATAATATGAATACTTTTTACGCTAGTTCTATTGAAAAAATCAAAATTTGAAATAAATCAGCTAATATTACTTGAAATAGATCCACATGTAATATTGAGTAACAGCATTATATATATTCATAATAAATAGTCTTCCCCTACTCCTATAAGAATAACCAGTCACTGAATAGAAATGAGATGGATGACATATGGGTGACTCAAAAACAAGGTAAATTTAACTTATTTTGAATTATTTAATAGTAAAGAATGGAGTAATAATAATGTTGTTAAATAATTAAAGGTGAACATGACAATAATAAGGAATTTTATTACGAGTAGACGCTTGCAATTCGCATAAGTGAAAATGACAGGTACATGATGGGTATTTTAGGTGCATAATAAGTATCTTTATAATTTGAAATATGTTAAAGTTAATATATGGTTGTAAATGAAAAAAATTTTTTAGACTTGAAAATGGCTCGACGAGCCGAAACGTCGTCATTTTGATGAGTAGTCATTAAGTGACAAAAAAAATTTTAAATTGGTGTAAATATGGCTAATAATAAATTAACTTGAAAATAAATATACTTCTATATTTTTACTTTTTTTGACTGATCACCCCAACCCTTCAATTATTCACTACAACCAACCATCGATCAACAGTTATAAAAAAATATCGGATTATCTTTTTAATTAAAAAATCATTTATAATAGTTATCCTATTATTAAAAGAAATAAAAGTTATATTTTAATAGTGTTGAATTTAAAAAAAAAAAACATTTGATACCCTTCCTATACAGGTGTTAGTTGACGAAGCGTGCGACAGATGTCGGTGGTAGTGGAGGGGCGTTGCCATGGTCACCGCCTCGCCTACAGTTCGCGGCCAACCATGTCCGACGACAGAGTGGTCTTGAAGAGGAAGATCACTCTGTTGAACGGCGTAGCCCTCATCGTCGGCACCATCATAGGCTCCGGTATCTTCGTGTCCCCTACCGGAGTCCTCATCTACGCCAAGTCCATCGGCCTCAGCCTCATAGTCTGGGCCGTGTCCGGAGTGTTCTCGACTATCGGGGCACTATGTTATGCCGAGCTGGGAACCTCCATCACGAGATCCGGAGGAGATTATGCCTACATCTTGGAGGCCTTCGGCGATCTACCTGCCTTCCTGAGGCTCTGGGTGGCACTCCTCATTATCCGACCGACGACGCAAGCTATCGTAGCCCTAAGTTTCGGAGAGTACGCGCTTAAACCTTTCTTTCCGAACTGTTCGCCTCCAAAGTCAGCTGTATCTCTCTTAGCCGCCGCTTCATTATGTAAGTAGAACATATATCTAGCTGTGAGCACTATAATTCAAACAACATACTAGTTAAAAATCATGTTAAATACACATATCTTACACCGCTGTTATGAATAACACAATTAAAAAAATATATATATTATATCATTATTCAAAGATATCAAACAATGTTTCATTCTCTACTTTTAATTAAATTATTTATTGATTAGTTTAATGTAATTTACATTTCATCATATTCTTGTAAATGTATCTTCTAAAAGATAAAAGATACTGAAGTATTTCAGGGCAATTCGCATGAGTCATACGATATCGTTTGCTCTATATCTAAAAATATATGCCTTTAAAGTAGTTTCTTTGAAAACGAAACTCAACAGATCGAATAAAACATGACGAAATTAAAATATATATTATCAGAGTTTTATTTAAGTTTATGTTTAATTCTTTGTAACATGGTATATATTTTCTGTTTAATTAGATAAGCATACTTTAAGTAGAAAATTAAGACATACGCGAACGTGGAGATAATGTAGTCGTTGAGTAGTTGAATTTCTTGATAATGACAGTTTGAAATTTAAATCACGTGGTTTAGGTTTGTTTGTAACCTTAGATGGGGTAGGTTGCAATAAGTTTCGGCCGCTAGATTGCAGCACCATAAAAGGCGGGCTTCGCGATCGATGGAGTCAATTTTAGTTAATGAAGAGTTCGTTTTATCATGCCGGTGAATTTACAAAACTGCTATTTAATTTTTTTTTTAATATTATTTATATTTAGAACTCAAGTGCTTTTTTTATAAACAATATTATTTTCTGTTTATATTAGCTGTTTCAAAATTTTATAAGAATATTTTATATTATCTATTCTATGAAAAGGTCATTTTTCGTTTTGTTATTCGATTTTGTTTTTTAAAAATCACACAATTGTTTCCACTATTTCATTATATATTTAATTATAATTAGCGATTTCTCATATAAATAATTAATATGAATTACAAACGATTAGATCATATTTTAGCTTTGTATTTTGAGAGGAATATTAGTAACTCATTTTATTTTCACTTACACACTTATATATAATATATAGTAAGAGAAAATTTCAACGAAAATACACATTTTGAGGTTTTCTTAGTCAAAATAACTAATTCTCGCAAACATCAGAAGTTATATAAATATTTTTAGTACTATAATACTTGCAAGACGTAAGTTTGTGTTAAACGAAATTATTCAAAACTACGATTTTTTACTTTAGATTAATTTAAATTAAAAAAAAAATAAGCGTGAATTTATTATTAAATTTAATCTTATCGCACAAATATTTAGAATAGTATGTAAAACGAACTTTATTCTGGGATTAGGTCTGACAGACAAACAAAAAAAACCATCATAGCTTTAATACATTTAATCATTAATTATATAAATTGTATGCATGTGTTTTTTTTTTTCGCTTAGTTTTAATTTTCTTATTTTTTAGGTTATTTTATTTTATTATTTATTGTATATACTTTTCATTATTATTTTGTTTCTATTTATTTTATTATTTTTGTACATATAGTGTGAATGTCATCCTACCTCATTATAACCAATGTCCAAGTGACAGATTGTTGTAATACTCAATAAAAAAAAAAATTAAGGCTTGTTCCTGAAAAAAAAATAAAATTGTATAAATAATCTATTTTGTTTTTACATACCTATTGAAATATAAAAATAAAAACAAATGGGCTGAATTGCTCTTGTCACAATACCTCAATAGTTTAATACTAAACCTTCCACTCATAAGGTTATATTTATTTAAATAATGTTTATATTATTTGTATAATAAAAGTAAGACTATTATGATCTAAGGTTTGTTCATTATTTTATTTAGTTACTTTATTATTAAATATTAAAACTATTATTCACTTCAAATTAACAACTTATATGATTTTATGCCACCTTTTCTAACACGTGTATTTTTACGCTTCATAATTGACACGTGGATGTCTGTTTTAAGGTTTGCACTACTATCAGGATCATTCATACCTGCTCAACTCAATGCCACATTAATTATTTATGAAATTATCAATTTAGCATTGTTTAAGTGACTGATTATGTAAGTCATACTGAATTTGTTATCACTTTTTTGTTTATAGCACTGACAAATCTTTGGGATTTGGTTTCGGCCTCCCCATTTTACAAATTATACAACTGTTAATTTAATTGTACAACTCGTTGCTCAAATTGTGTAACTTGAATATACATGTATTCTTTTATTTAAATTGTATTATTTTCTATCAACATAAAATAAAATGAATGAAACCACAGTTCGGACAAATGTTTTTAATTTATTTAAAAATCTATATTATACATCGCGTCTTGTTGCCAATTTATATTATTATATCATTATAATTATTCTTAATAATTATTTTATAAATAATTATTAGTAACCATATTATATATTCAACATTTTATTATTCAAATTTTCATTTATGTTATATTGTGCTTCTTTTTATATTTCATAATAATTATAATTACATAAAATAATAATATTATACATAATATAATAATTAATATATTGTATTCAAAGATAAATGTTTATATGGAAAAATAACATTTGTCATCCAGGTAAAATCAAACTATCCCCTCCAGTTGAATATTTCCCTTACAATTTTTTAGCCAAAAGCCTTATATTAGGAGAGTATGAGGTAACATGAGCTCAACACATATGCAATTAAATGAACAGCTGTATAATTTGTAAAATAATCGCCTAATAAGTTATCTCCTGTGCACCTAATCCTAAAACAAAATAAAATATGAAAGTCACTAAAAATTCTTTAAAAATGTATATTATACATCGCTCCTTATTGTCAATTTATATTATTATATAATTATAATTATTCTTTTAGCCAATTTGTAACCATAATATTTATTGAACTTGTCCAGCTTCATATAAGCCTAACGATAATTTGAGTCTTTTATTTCTAATATTTTCATAGTACGTTATATTGTGCTTCTTTTTCTATTTCATAATAATTATAATTATATCACACTATAATATAAAGATATTATATATTATATTGATTAGTATATTGTATTCAAGGAGGAATGTCTATATCGAAAAATAACAGCTGTCACCTAGTTAAAATCAAACTATCTCCTTCAGATGAATACCATTTCCCTTAAAATTTTTTAGCCAAAAATCTTTAATTTGTATTAGGAGAGTAGGAGGTTGAGAGTAGAGGGTTCTATCGAGACTAGAGGACTGAGATAATCTCTATTATATAAAAAAGTTTTTAGTGACTTTCATATTTTATTTTATTTTAGTATTAGGTGCGCAAGAGATAAAAGGATCATAACTTATTAGGCGATTATTTTATAAATTATACAGCTGTTCATTTAATTACATATGTGTTGAGCTCATGTTACCTCATACTCTCCTAATATAAGGCTTTTAGCTAAAAAAAAATGTAAGAAAAATATTCAACTGGAGGGGGTAGTTTGATTTTAACTAGGTGACAGCTGTTATTTTTCGATATAGACATTCCTCCTTGAATACAATATACTAATCAATATAATATATAATATCTTTATATTATAGTGTGATATAATTATAATTATTATGAAATAGAAAAAGAAGCACAATATAACGTACTATGAAAATATTAGAAATAAAAGACTCAAATTATCGTTAGGCTTATATGAAGCTGGACAAGTTCAATAAATATTATGGTTACAAATTGGCTAAAAGAATAATTATAATTATATAATTCCCACATATATTATTACAGTAAGGCTCGAAATCGGTTTTGTACCAAATATAAGCTCCTGTCATGCTCAAATACAATGAATGGGGTACCGTTGGATTTAGAATTTCACGGGGGGTTAGCGAGTCGTATTCTTCACTTTTGTTTTTCATTCTAAAATAAATAAAGTCGATATAAACATTTTGCTAGGCTTTGATACTGGAACGGTGGTAGGTCTGCACATCGATACGGGACAAATTCGATCTTGAAGATTTTGATGCGTACAGCAAGGCCCGGATAGTTCCTCCGGAAGAAATACAAAGAAGGATCACGGCTGCCAATAGATGTGTCTATGGACTTGGCCGACACTTAAGAAGTAGGTACCTCTCAAAGAAGACCAAGCTGATCATATACAAGACCCTTGTTCGGCCTGTTTTGACATATGGCTCAGAGGCTTGGACGATGACCAAAAGGGATGAGATGAAGCTGAGTGTCTTTGAGCGAGGAGTCCTCAGAAGGATTTATGGTCCAGTAAAGGAGGGTGATGTCTGGAGGAAAAGAAAAAATAGGGAGCTCAGTTCTCTCTATGCAGACATCGACGTAGTCACGTATATTAAACTGGCCAGACTAAGGTGGGCAGGGCATGTGGCCAGAATGAGCACCCTTGAAATACCAAAAAAAATAATGATGGAGGAGCTGCACCTCGTAAGACGGGTAGGAAGGCCGAGGACGAGATGGTTGGACAACGTGGCCTATGATGCGAGAACCCTGCTTGGTGTGCGGAACTGGAGAGCTGCAGCAGAAGACAGAGCCAACTGGCGGAGGCTCTTGGAGGAGGCCCAGTCTCGGTAACGGGATGTCGTGCCATACATGAATGAATGAATGAAGACATTAAACTATTGTCGGAACTTTGGTTTCGTTCAGTTTATTTTGTATTGTATTTGTATTGTATGCACAGTTGTATAATTTGAAAATTGGGGGTTGGTCCGCCGATAAGCGAACAGGGGGTATCCCTCTAGGATTTCTACGTATTTGGAAAAATAAAATTTTTAGTGGGGATCAAGTTTTTGAATTTTTTAGTCGATTAACACTAAATATACCATAACGGGTCAAATGACCCATTTTGAACTTTTCCATTGAAAATGCACGTATAATTTTATTGCGTTTGCACATTTGACTTCATGACTTTTTCTAAGTAATTAATGTACAGTTATAAAAATATTTTTGTTTTGTTTATTCTGAGTAATCCTTGTATACCGATATCTACCACAACAGGTCATTTGACCCGGAGAGAATTTTTT